TTTATTTAATATTAATATTCCATCAAGAGTCAGTGCGTTAGGTGCAAATTGTTTTAAAGAATGTAGTTCATTGAAATCAATTAACATACCTTCAATTAATAAATTAGGTGATAAGTGTTTTTCTGAGTGTGTGTCATTAACATCAATTAATATTTCATCGTCATTTATTGAATTTGGATTTGGATGTTTTTATAGATGTGGATGTGAAGAAACTTTAAGAAAGAATAAAAGAATACCAACAGTGTCTTTTGAAGGTGGTGATAGAAAGATAGATAAAAATATAAGAATACTTAATTTAGAATAAAATGAATAAAACTATTTAAAAAAATGTTTTAAAAAGAATGAAAGAAATAATAAACGAAATGAAACAATAAGTAAATTCATAACAGAGAAAAATATGGTATTATTGTTTACAACAATTCAATAACGTTCATGAAAAGAATAAATAAAAGTTATCCCACTCAGTTAACAACATAATAGATTAATGAAAAATTGAATGAATATTGAGAAATAACATAAATTAATAAACTATTTATATCACTTTATAATTGAAAACATGATCTACTTCATTTGCTTATTTTGTTCATTTCTTTATTAATTTATCTTTTATTTTTTCATTACGCTTATGTCTAAATTACTTTAAACTTTTTTCAACCAATAAATACAACTAATTACATTATCATTATTTTAAACTATATTATGAGAGTTATAAAAATTAAACAAGGGATAACTCAAAACAATAAATATCAATAGAAATAAATGAAGTATTAATACAAGTCTAATTAGTGATATTTATTTACATATTCATTTTTTCATCGTTTTGGGAAATTATTTTATTATTTTGTTATTGATTTACTTCTATACTTTTTTATCTTCTTTTATTTCTCTTTATTCTCTTCCCTTCCATCAACTTTCATGTTTATATACATCTTTCTTATTTCATCTCTGCATAACAACCTTTTTTTCTTAAACTGAAAACATACTTCTATTGGTATTATCAATTATAATACTATACACTCTCTTCTATCTTTTGGCTTTTCTTAACTATCTC